TCCTAGCTCCCTGCACACCCTGACATAAAGAGGCACAGCCTTCTCTATTGAACCTTACCCTAAGCTGAGCGCCGGCCAGTGGTATATTGGAGGGTGGCTTAGCGTTGCTAACTATACAGTTTAGGAAATGGGTCTGGGCCCACTTACCCAGTTTGACAAGTTGACATCTTTAGAGTTTGCCTTGGTTTGAATGGGTTCTTGGATTTGTGTTTTGGAACATTTGTCCTCAGTGTGGCAGTATTAAGAGGTAGGGAGATGGGTGCGATGGCACACTTGTAATCCCAGAGGCTTGAGAGGCTGAGGCAAGACAATTGCAAATTCAAAGCCAGACTTGGCAATTTAGAGAGGCCCTAAGCAACTTAGCAAGACCTGTCTCAAAATAAAAAAAAATAAAAATAGGTTGGGTATGTGGCTCAGTGGTTGGGCACCCCTGGGCTCAATCCCTGGTACCAAAAACAATTTTTTTAATAAATAAATTAAAGTTTTTAAGAAATGGTAAGGGGTCTATAAAAGGTGATCAGTTCATGGAGGCAGCACCCACGTGAATAGATTAATATCATTCTCAGAGTGAGTTGATGATCGCAAGAGCAAGTTCTTATGAAGCAAGGCTGCCCCGTGTTTTTCCTCTCCTCCCGCGTACTCAGTCCCTTTCTGCCATGGTGTGGTGCACACAGCATGAGGCCCTCAACCAGCTGTGGCCCCTCCACCTTGAACTTCCCAGACTCCAGAACTGTAAGCCAAACTTTTTTTCTTTATGAATTTCCCAGTCCTTTATGAAATTCAATTATAGCAACAGGAAACAGACTAAGGCAGCTAACAAGGACCCAAGAAGTCATTCTCTTGACTCCCTTACTTACAGAGGAGGGAACCTGAGGCAGTTGATGATGGGCAGAGTTGGAGTCTGTGACTTTGTCCAGCACCACCCCCCCACTCCCAGAGTTGTTAACAGTCAGTGTTACCAAGGTCACCTTGCCTAAATCTAAGGAGATAGTAGGCTTTTCCACTTTTTCACCAGATATTAATTCTGGTGATTAATATCAGACTGCAGAATAGCATGTGTGAATGGTTCTAGAGCAGAATCAGTAAATGGAGAGGTCATCCTGCCTTTCTTTACAGTAGGCAGAATTCCGTCCAACAGCCTCATTGCCTCGGCAGAGCAGTGGCCCATCAGATTCTGCAAACTGGAAGCAATTATGTGCGTGATAATAACAGGGCATGGGCCCAGCCAGCCCTGTGTAGCTGGTGTCTGATGTGAGTCACCTGGCAGGCCTCTACATGCTCCTTTTGGTATTCAGCAATCCTGGCAAGCTCTAACAGAATCTGTTTAATTGATTGGTAAGTCCTTTAGCTTTTTTCTCTAAGGGAAAAATCAGATAGCTCTGGTTTGTTTGGTAATACTTACTTTACCTCTGATATGGAATGTATACAATGAAGAGCCGGTGCTAGTAGGTAACTATAAACTTGCCCTGGGATATGTACTTGGTATCTTTAACTCTGATGAGAGGGACTCACTTAACCATTCAGCTAGTCTGACAGTCCTAACAGATAGCCCTTTCTTAAGCCAGGCCATGAAAGGGCCCTTGACACGGTGCTGTCTGGGTACCTAGGAGGAGAGCAGGACTCTCAAGGGGTTGATTTCACAGGATGGAGATTACTGCTCTGTGCTTTGAACTTGGCCTTGAACCCTGTTCCCTCTGTTCTTTTTGGATCAGCCTTCCACATTAGCCTACAGAGCTAATCCTGCCTCTAAGAAGGGGATCTAGGGTGCTACATTAGGATAGACACGCTAACCACTAGATATGAGTAACACCAGTGAAGATGGCTCGGATCTTTAAAAGCCATGGAACTTCCACCTTTTGGGAATCTTGGATGGTTTTGCCCAAAGCAGGTGAACCTGATTGTGCCTCTGCTTGTTGGTGCTGCACTTCCTCAGAGTGTGCTGTCTTATCTTTCTAGACTAAGTTTATTTGTCCCAGGCCGTGAGCTTGCTGTGACCCTTCTCCTCTTCACGCACACACCATCCACAGCCATGATCTCTTAGATCATGCTGTCACTGGGAACAAGCCCTCTATCCCAGACTCCAAGCTCCCATCTCTGACCCCAGCCTTGCCTCCTGTGTCTTCCAGTCCCCTCCCTCCCTCTGCAGGTATGTTTAGCCTTCACACATCCCGTGTTCAAGTGTCCGCTCTCCTGGCCTCACTCACAGCCTGTGGAGAGGCTCCTGCTTTCCCGGCCTCTCATCCCTGTTCCCGGCCCTCCTCTGACTTCAGTGGACCCGGCTTGATGCCCCGGTCAGCACTTGCTGGTTTCTTGCAAACTTGCCTTGCCCGGTCCTAGGCTTGGGTGGACCAGGACCCACCTGCTTCCTCTGTTGACTGGAGAAAATAATGGATGTAAGTTGCTATTCCCATCTGTCCTATGATGAGTCCCTACCACCATCCAGGGCCTAGAGGATATTTTTGTATAATGAAATTTCCCAGAATCGAAATTCTAGAAGAAAAATCACAGTATTCTTATTTGATCTGGCCTATTAATGCTAAAGGCTTTGACTTATTTCTGCTCGTGAACGCATCAAGATAAAATGTCAGAGGTAAGACATGGAGAAGCCCAGGGTGATGCTGCCTTCTCGGCACCTAGTTGCTTCCCAAGGACACACAGGGGCTTTCAGAGTTCCCAGTGAAGTCAGCGGCTCTCCAGCTGACCAGCTCCACTGCCTAGACGCGGGGGTTCTCCTCATTCTCCTTAAGGGCTGTGTTGACTAACGCCTTTGGAGTTCATGGTAGGTTAGAGTGTCCCTCAGACTTCAGTTGGCAGGTTTCAGGTGTGGCCACCCTCACACTTGTCGGGAGCTGAACTGGCACACTTTTTAGAAAATTATTTGGCAGCACCCACAGCTAATGGATCTAGCAGTCTCCCTTTGGGGATACCATTACAGAAATCAAAGGGAGGTCAAGACCGTTGCAACCCTCACAACAAGAGTGCATCTCTTCCGGGCCCACTGGCAGGAACTGGTTGAGTGGACACTGCAACGTTATTAAACATTATTGAGAGAGACAGCTAGCTTTGAAAACTGTGTGTGATATATTGTTAAACAGATGAAGCCATTTGTAGACCAATATGGTTTAGGACTTAAAAATGTTTCTGCGGATGTTGACTATGGCCATATGTCACTAAGGTGACTCAGGGATCAGAAAGGATGTGTGTAGACTGTCACCAGTAACCTGTCAGGGCTAGGTGGAATTGCAGGATGGGATGAGAGATTGACAGAAAAGAGTTATTGCATCTCTTTTTGCTTTGTTTAAAAAAAAAAAAAAAAAAGCTAGGCGCTGTAGTGCATCCTATAATTCCAGTAGCTAGGGAGGATGAGACTGGAGATTCGTGAGTTCAAAGCCAGCCTCAGCATTCAGTGAGGCATTAAGCAACTCAGTAAGACCCTGTCTCTAAATAAAATACAAAAAAGGGCTGGGGATGTGGCTCAGTAGTCGAGTGTGCCTGAGTGCAATCCCCAGTACCAAAAAAAAAAAAAAGCATGATTTTGAGTAGTTTTGCAAATTAAAAATAAAGTCTTAGAATAAACCACTTAATAAATATTAAGGCTCAGAGCGCTTTTCATACAGTGACACATGGCACTAGGAGGCTCTCTTCAGCCAGAACGTGATAAGCACCACAGGAAAAGCGCAGAGCAGGGAGAGTGTTGACACCGCCTTCCGTCACCCCTGCGCCTGGCATCACTTGCCTCCTGTCGCCAGGGATTGGGAAAGGAACAGACACCTGCAAAAGCTCTGCCTCTGCAGTACCGCACCCCGTGGTCTACCTCCATGTTTGTGTACAGACCAGAATCTCCTGCACAATCCTTTGTGACATTTCTGAACAGTGATTGAGTGTGCTTCACACACAAAGGGAAAGCCTGTTGATATTTCATCTTTGAACCATAGCAGACGTGTGAACTTACACCCGAGCGTGCCCTGCTGGGTGGCAGAATCGCTGTGGTCCTTGACCCCCACTTCAACTCCTGCTGGAGGAAAGAGTTAAACGTGCCCAGTGACCTGTCAGGGCTCTCAGATGTGTGTTCTTCCCATTTAGTTCTTCATCCTCAGTGGAACACCCCAACCCCAAGGTCTCCCCCGACTCCCTGCCCACCTTTGTGCCATCTTTATTCTGTGTGTGCTCTTCAACACTTGGTTCCTGTGATATCAGTAATCATACCTGTCTTTGTTCCATTCCTCAATTTCAATCTTGAGGCAGCAGGCCTCAGTCTCTACATGCCAGGGCTGAGAATGTTTCTTACACAGAGTAGGTGCTCAGTAAATGTATCTCAAATTAACTACATTTCTGAAAGCCAGTTTCCTGAATATACTTTCAGATAATTGAATACATGTCCATTTTTCTATAGATATATTTCAACAAAAAGTAAAAATGGATATTGTTGTTGCAATTATAGCAATTGATTTGCAGAAAAATAACTGATATAAATTGGTTTTCTTAGGAGGTGGTTCACAGTGTAGTAGGAGTATTTTGAGGTGGAGGTTGGTAACTGTTCGGCAGAGTCACGCAGGTAATGGGTCTGCCTTGGGAGTTCTCATCACTAAAAGCTACTTGGCTTTCAATGGCCAGGTGACACGAGAAGGTTTTGCATAGTCTAAACCCTTGTTAGAAAAGCTCTGTTTTAGAATCTTTTCAGGTTCTTTTTTTTAATATATATTTTTTTAGTTTTAGATGGACACATACTTTTATTTATTTTTATGTGGTGCTGAGGATCAAACCCAGTGCCTCCCACATGCGAGGCAAGCGCTCTGCCACTGAGCCACACCGCAGCCCCTTTTCAGGTTCTTGAACCGTAGTGGAGATTGCCATTGCCCAGTGGGCAGTGACAGCTTGATTTTGGTGTCCATGGTGGCTCCAGCCAGGGTTGGCTCTGTCAGTTTAAGCAACCTAAGGTGTGCTTTCACATTCAGTTCCTTTCCCCTCAGATTGCAGAATGATAAAAACGGGCTCTTTTAGTGCTCCTTCAGCAGCTCGTATACTGGAATTGGACCGATACAGAGACGATTGGTGTGGCCCCTGCACAGGATGACACACGGGGTCATGAAGCATTCCTTATTCAAAGAGGTTAAGGAAAAAAATAGAGAACAAAAAATGAACTCTTTATTAATTAGCCTAAGCATATATATTTAAAGACCAAACTGGACTATCCTGAAAGATACGTTTTGTAGAAAACTAGCTTCTGAGTACCCATGGGTACTCAGCAAAGACCAAGATTTCAATGTGTTTTGTTTGAAAGATCTTTTTAGCATTTTAGTTTGGTCATGCTGGGGGTCAAACCCAGGGCCTTCCTTGCCCCTCAACACATGCAAGGGAATCGCTCTGCCACTGAGCAATGCCCCCAGACCCTAATCGGCTTTTATAGTTGGTTCATGAACTGGGCAGTCTGCAAAACAGAGGTGATGTAATGGGCATGGCAGAGAATTCAGTTTTTTAAAGGCAGCTTGAGCAGGAAGAAGGGAATAGCACAGTACAAAAGGTGGATGGGTTGACATGACGTTGTCTCAGATCACTTTCCTTGTTGGGGTTGGAGCAGAACGGATTCCCTTATCTGCCAGCTCAGGTGGACTTTGGATCAGTTCTTGCAAATCTTGTGTCTTTTTATTTTTTTTTAACTGGCCTGTTTGGAGATCTCTCTTCTGGTTCTAGAGGAAGTCGGATCTTGGGAGCTTAGGTTTTACTTTGGTGATGTGGGTTCCTAGCATGAGTGGCTCCATTTTGGGTTGGTTGGTTAGGGTCTACTGTAAGAGTGCAGTTCAAATCAATGGCCTCCTGTGAATCTTATTTAACAGAACTTCCCTATTAATGTCAGTACCCAATCATGTCATTCCATCCCCAGGTGGGCTACATGTTGAGCTCTGAGTTGAGAGTCTTTCCCAGGCCATGCTCTGGGCCCCAGACTTTCTCTGCTTAGAGTCTGGTGTGAAATCTTCATGTAAATCTTTACAGGCAGCTGTTCTACAGCACACAGAGTTCTCAGCTCCCTGATTACAAACGGGACCTATCAGCTTATAAACCAAACAGAGGACAAAATTCCTGAAACCTTGCCAATTTTCTCTCTGTTGAAAGAATTCTTGGCAGTAGTTAACACATTTTGCCCAGTACTAAAATAATTCTGTTATATCCACAATGAGAAGGTTTTGTAAAATGGGGTTTTTCTTAGCCTATTTGAATATATAAAATATTGGTGTTCAACCCTGTTTTACTTTAAAACTTATTACAATTTTTAAAAAATAACCCTTACCTGGGTCCCACAATACACCAATTAAATGATAATCTCTTCTCGGAGTTGAGAAAAGTTAACATGTTTCAGGGTGGTAGACGATCTTTCCAAATGCATATGAGTATTAATCTGTTTCCAATTGCTATAATAAATACCTGAGACTGGGTACTTTATAAAGAAAAGAGGTATATGTTGCCAACAGTTTTGGAGGCTGAAAGTCCAAGGTTGGATGGTTCCCTTGTTCCAAGAAACTAGAAGGGCCTCATAGTATCCTGGCAGAGTACATGAGAGAGGGAAGATCACATGGCAAGACAGGAAGCCAGAGAGCTTGGGGGGCTCTTTCATAACAACCCTCTCAAGAGACTATAACCAGGGTCTCAGAGAACTAACTTAATCCCTCTGAGCAGGGTCCTTGTACCCTAACGACTTCCACTGGTCCCACCACTTCTCAACATTGCCACACTGGGGACCCAAGCTTCTAGTACATGAATCCTTGGGGACAAACCATATTTGATCCATGCCAATGCTTATTTGGTTTAAATTAATTTATGCACATTTAAAATCACAGATTACTGTAATTTGCAAGTGTAGCTCTCCCCTCTTCTTTCCCATGGGTAAATGCCACTCACAGAGTCCCTCTGACATCCTGGACAGTGTTTGAGCATCTCACCAGGCCATGTGGCCCTGCAGAGGACCCCGCCCTCCCTTTAGATAACTTAGTTGCTTAGGATCTTGCTCAGTTACTGAGGCTGGCCTTGAACTTGAGATCCTCCTGCCTTAGCCTTCAGATCCATTCAGAGCAAGCCTGGGAGAGCTGAGGATTGGCCAGTGGCCCTCACTGGCAGAAAGAACTAGCCAGCAGGTGTGTGGACAGGAATACAGTAGGACCGTAGGGGACTTGTGGAGATGAGGCCCTAGGGCAGGGTGGCAGGATGGGAGGGGCAGGGAGAGCACTGTGTTGATCTGCAGCCCGTGCCCTGACCTGGACAGTGCTGACAGCATCTGCTGATGACCTCGGCCCTCCCTCCCTCCACAGATACGTGGTGTTAACTGGCTCAGACCTGTGCTAGCCCCAAAGCACAGTTCGACGAGGTACTTGGGGGACACCCAGGCACAAACCCAGACTGGGGGTGGGAGAAGGCACCTAAGGAAGTGCCATCTAAGCTGAGGCCTGGGCAGCCTGAAGGGCTGGGTGGCTGTGGGCAGCTCTCCCTGATCCTTGGGGAAGGCTGCCTTCCCTCTGCCCTCTGCAGGTACTGCTCTCTTGGGCACTGGGCACCACTCCCCACCTCCAAGTCTTGTCTGCTCCTGACCTTCAGAGCCTGGGGCCTTCCTGCACCGGTTTTGGCAAGATCCAGCTGTCACCTCCTGCTTCTTGTCCCTTGTCTGACCTTTCTCCTCATTTCTGCCTCTGCCACCCAAACGTAGGCTCTTCAGTGCCCTTGGCTCGTGCCCACCCAGCCTACTCTCCACTGCCAGTCTTTTCTCCCATGACCACCTCAACGCCTTATTTCCATCTTCTGTCTGGCCTTCTCCAAGAAACCCCACCAGCATTTCAGACGAGAGGGAGCCTAACTTCCTGTGTTGTCCACGACCTCTCCAAATCCTGTTCCTCTTTCCACCTCCTTGGCCCTGCCCCAGCAGGCCCCTTCTCAGACACCTCTGCGCCCCAGAGACAGCCTCCGATACTTCAGCTGGCAGAAACCTCTTCTCTCCGGTGGTGCCCGTGCCTCCCTTGAGGGCAGGGCCCAGGTCCTTACCTTGGAGTATGGTTCCAACATGGGACTTGAACATCTCGATCGATGCTCGGTGACTGACGTGGGTTCACGTGAGCACTGACAGCAGTGCTCGTGATTAACCCGGGGTAGAGAATGAGGCATCACTATGGATTTGGCAAGATGCAGCTATTACTCTTGACAACTAACCTATGAAGTGGCACAACCTAATAATCAGAGCCGAGAACAGGGTCTAGATGTCGATTTAAATCCTGTCCTCATCCCCCTTCACGGCCCTCCTGGGCCATGTTCCTTGTCTACATCACAGGGATGGCTGTGGCCAAACACTGACTTCAGAAAAGTTCTCTCTGGATTACGAAAAATCAAGGCAAACATGCATTGTAATGTAGCTTTCACTTCTAGAAAACATTGCGTTTTAGCAGGGACCTCATACCATTTAATCTGTCAAGTTCTAACATCTGTTTCTGCACGTGACCTGAAGTTCCCATTCCCACAGCCCAGGTTCCAGGGCAGGAGGCAGAGCTGCCAGTGCTGAGGAGAGCGTGAGCAGACCTGCCCGGCCTGCTGGAGCACACACAGGAGAGCCAGGTCCTCGGGAACAAGCCCTGGCATTGGGCCTCCTGAGGTTGTGAATGTACACAATTGTGCAAAGAGACACTTCTGTTCCTGCAAAGGACTCCTGTGCTGCTTCCTCTCTCTCTATTTCTCTCTCACACACATACCTCCCTGAGTGAGGGAAATGTGAGAACAAAGTACAATCTCAAGTGAATTTTTTTAAAGAATTTTTATGAATTGTGATAAGCATTGCTTTTGTTGTTGTTTCCACTGTGACAGTGAGTGCCAGGAAGAGGACTCACACCAGAGTGAGAACTGTGTAGACTCCCTGGGGGAAATTCTCAGCTAGTAAGGCATGGAAATGCTTGGGGGGTGGGGGGCAGGCGGGCGGGGGAGGTTAGATAAATGTGACCACACTGCTGAGCCAGAGGAAGGGGGAGGGGGCTTGGTGGGAGGCAGAGATGAAGAAAAAGAGTTCATGACACCGTGGAGTTAGCACTTCCTTAAGAGCAAAGTTCTCAGAGACCTGAGGATTAGAGGCCCCATCAGGCTGTGCCAATCCAGCAGCCCTGACCACAGGATGGGTGGAGGCTACCCAGTGCTGCCTCTCTGTAGCATGGATGGGGCCACACTGGCTGCCAGGGAGGCTTCAGGTGCATGAAGGTGCAGTCACAGAAAAGGAGGTGTGCTGGGATGGGCCTCGCCATGGAAGACACACGCCGCTCCAGGAAGATCCCAGCAGGTCCCTCCTGCCAGGTGCACATGGCATGGCCTTGGTTGTAAGCAGGAACCCCAGTTGGACGGGCGGAAGTGCCGTCACCCTCCAAGGACCTAGACACTGCTTTTTCCCAGTTCATTTCAGCTGCTTTGCAATAGATACCTTAAAAATCAATATAATAGATAAAAGAATTGTAATCTAGGCAAAACCCAGCCCATCACAAAGCAGAAAGGGAAATAACCCATAATATGAAGTAAAAATTAAAAGGTAGCACATCATTACATGCATCATCATTTGTTTAAACAGGACCTTAATGCATCTGATGAACACTTACACAGCTTTCCTCCGGCAGCTCTGTTCTGGGCACTGGGACTGAGCCAGGGAGCAAATAAACAAAAGCTGCTCCCTTGAGAAGGTTAGATTTCAGAGGGAGTCGCACAGCTCAGCTCTCCGCACCCCTACATCCCATTGAAGTGCTCTTCTAAACATCCATCCTGCTCATAAGTCTTGGTAGAAATTCAACTGAAGAGGAAACTTGACGATAGCACCGTTCACATGTGCTCGTGATTTTAATGACAGTCACTTTTTGGTTTTTAGGGAGAAGAAAATGGCCTTCCGGACAGCACTGGAGAACCCCTTTCAGGTACATGATCCATTGTAAAGCCACCGGGGCTGCAGCAACAGCTAGCGTGGCTCAGTTGAGAATGTGTTGGTCATGAACTGTTGTGTGTGTGGCTTGATAACTTTGACCATCACGGCATTTTGAGAGCAGTAACGGGCACATGAGTAACCAAGGGCAGGGCTTGTTGGCCTTGCTCTGTCCTCACTGTC